GCTTCCATGACTTACCTGGACCCCTTTGCAAGAATTTAGCCAGAGACCCAGAGCTTCAGTTCTACATCCACTGCTGTATACCTAATGTGAGATTTAGCTTCAAATAGTAGAGCTTTAAGGAAGCATCCACTCGCTGAAATCTTCATTTAAGGGCTTCCTTGTCCACTTTTATTAAATGAAAGGTCACAAAAACAATGCAGTTACCCTCACAGGGGGTCTTCAGCATCTCACTTTGGCAACACAAACACATGCACATTCAGCCTCTTGGCTTTGCACTTGCAGCACCGCTGCTCTGGCCTCAATCCCCAGGCCACTGTCTGTTCCTCCAGACAGCCTTAACACCAGGCTAATTTGCCCAATCGGTTTCATTCCAGCCTCTTGGCTTTGCAATTGCAGCACCGCTGCTCTGGCCTCAATCCCCAGGCCACTGTCTGTTCCTCCAGACAGCCTCAGTCCTGTGCTAACCTGTACACTTGGTTTCGCAACCCACAGCTCCCTGCTGCACTGGACTTCACTCTGACTCCTGGGTAGAGACCTCCTGCCTCCTAGGTGGAGCCCTCAACATTTTCCAGCACATTTACCTTAAAGGCTGTGCACAGCTGTGCAATCAGCAGGTGCAGGTCACTTATGAAAATATGGATCCAGGAATGTAGTTTACACAGTGGCATTGTCACCCATTGCCACACTAACTTTTGCAGCACCTCTAACTTCCCCTGTAGTTAACATGTCCACCTCATTACTAGTAAATCAACCCCAACCTTTCAAATTCTCTCTTCCACACATAACACCCCAAAATCATATAACTACTTCTACCTGACACTGTTCCCATTCTTTCAGGGGAATGGTCTTCTGATTTGAAGCTATAGAAGGTGTAATACCTGGACCCCATTTGCCCTTTAGGGCAATCATAGGGCATTTGCCCTATGATTGACAGCTGTGTTAACCAGTCAGTGGGCAATGTATATCTCCTGTATTCAGAGTATTTAGTCACACGCAAGGCTGATGGCGATGGCACTGGAGTAGGGGACATCTGTAACTGCAACCTCATATGCCCCTTTTCCTACGCCACTGGTTACCCAGGGAATCCTTTTTTCATTATCAATGACCCAAAGAAATGGCAGGGGAGCAAAAGGAAGCTACATACAAGCAGTTGGTGTGGCCAACATTAAAGTGAACATGCTGCTTTGGTCCTTTTTTAAAAGGAGAATGCAGAGCAAAATTTACCAGTACAGCCACCGTATCCTCTCCTAGCGCATATAAATGCACTCTGATTCCGTTCCTTCTTAATGCTGCAAAATGTCTTATTCCTCGTCATTAGATAGTAGACAGTATCCAGTTAATGGAAGAACTGATACATACCCAAAAGGGCAAATATGACAAGTACCTGAGCTTTCTGGCTTGACTTCAAATGGTCTACTACTTACGTGTTATACTGTATGTGTTTTAGACCTAAAATGCATTCTTGAACTCTTGTATTGGGCACCACATATAGGCACAATGCTTACCTTTACCTATCCAGTTGCAATTACCTTATAAGTCATTATATACCAATCAACACAAACTGCAGCTCATTACTATCCCTACTCCTTCCCTTCCTTGTGTGAACTCCCTTTCCTCCCACCCATACTTCTGCTGACATTTTGGGGATGTTTGTGCTGTTTTGTTTCTAAATTGCCACCAGGATTTCATGTAACATCCTCTGTATCATGCTCATAAAAGACCAGCACAGCCAGATCCTCAACCTTCCATGCAGGAGTAGCAAAACTTGGTCAAAATCATTGGTCAAAACACATCCACAGCCTGCTGAATAGACATCAGCACAGTGATAAGGTCACTCTGCATTTTGCTCCTGCCAGTATGTCCTGCAGCAAGCTTGATGGTCTTCTGGAGTTGCCTCACCCTCTGCCAGTGGAAGTGCTGATTTGTAAAAATAGGCTATCAAGCAAAATTCAGGAACTTACACTAATTACATAAAAAAGATGTGGAGAATATCTCTGTCTCCATACAGAACTTCCTTTAGGTGGATGGTCGCACACAATTAAGGGGACAACCAGATCTTAGTCCTTCGGGAGTAGTTGGCAAGATGGAAGTTGTGGAAGAAAAGTTTATAAAATGCTCTTGTTGCAGATGCAACCATTATTGGTAGAACAGAGAAGGAGATCTTGAGTCCATGGTATATTATATTTCTCCTTCAGAACAGGCACATCACATACACTTCAGTTGGGGCTTTAAAGAAAGCTGTCTGCGATGGGCCAGCTTTCTTCATAGCCAACTGTAGTGTAGGTGATGCAACTCCTAAAAAAGTGTTCCGTTGCCACAGAATGCATTGTATGGTGTTTTAAAACTAAATACGACACATACAATAGAATTTAACTTGGATAAAGGATCTCTTCCATTGTCTTCTCCACCAATACCAGGCACCACTGGACTGAATCAGTTGACCAGCATACATTACATTCTATGTGCACCCAAAATCCATAAAGAGGCACATGTAAAGAGGAGAAATAAAGTATGGGACTTGTATTGATTTGATTTTTTAAAGTTTAGTTTTACTGTATTTATTTAATTTCAGCAGTTCTACATGTTTCTACAATACAAAGTGGGTTGTTTGCTACAGGTGGGGGGGGTGCTGGCTTTACATAGATCAGGGAAGAGGGAGGCATGCAGTCATATGTGCACAATCCCATCCAGCTTTCCTAAGACATGCTGTGTAGCACTATTGAATCTTGTATTTTAGCATGCACACAGGTCTTTGTAAAGGATTGTGTGGGCTGAATATGCTACTGTCATACTCAGTAGTTCCATTCTCCTGCATACTACCTGCTGTTTTAGATATGAGCTATGGGCAGGATACAAGTCCGCGGAGGAGACCAATATGTGGAACAAATTGGACATACTGAGAGTTGCTTTATGCTTCTCATCTCTACTGGCCTACTATGCTTTAATCGCCATTTTGTAAGTGCAATGATTCAAATAGTCTAAACGTCGTGTAGACACTGTGTATCACTCACCAGCAAACCACTTCCACATATTCTGCTCTCATTGTTTGTGCTCTACTTGCTATATAGCTCCTTTTTTTTCTACGTGTGTGGGTGGTAGAGAGTGAGAACAGTGAGAGATCTAAACAGACAAAAGGCTTGCTAGTGCTGGGGGAAAGAGGGAGTTAATTCTACCCAGACATACAAGTATTAGGGGCAGTCCTAGCCATAATGGTCATTTGCTTTACACATGTATTGCTGGAGGATTAAACCAATTGACGGTTGCTATGACTACAACCTCCCAAGATACATCGCTGTTAAGACAATCATGAATAATCTGTTATTGTGCATTAAGACTGAGCTTTGTCGGATTTCGTATACATAATATCTTTATTTGTTCTGCTGCTGCACATATTTATTCCTCTCATGGGATGCTGTGGTTATAGAAGATCCAAGTTTTGCAGCTTACATATACAATACATGGATGACTATCGCACTATATCTCAAACAGCTAACCAAAAGAATTATATATGAAAACTAAGAATATACTGTAGTAACTGTTGTAAGATTGTACACAAAACTGGGACGAACCTTGGTGGAATATTTATATTTCTCAGACCAGATTTCTAATTTCCACTCCAGTGAGAGCTATTACAATGTGACTGCCATTGCTATGTTTTCCATTTATTATCCATTTTATATCATAGTGTTTATCCATAACCTCCTGTGCTGATACATTAGGGTACGTTGACACCATATGCAGTGCGTTGCGGACCGATTCCGGACAGAACGCACTGCATCGCATTGCGGGCCGGCTCACTATTTCCGATCAAAATAGTGCTTGCAGCATTTTGATCGCACCGGACTGCACTGCAGGGATAATGTGCCTTGCGATCCCGTGCGGGCAATCGCATTGCGACCAGAAGGCGTGGCTACGGTGCCGTTTACTTCAATGGCCCGCCATGCCCCCTCCAGCCCCACGAAATAGTGAGCCGGCCGCAATGCGATGCAGTGCGTTCTGGCCGGAACGCACTGCATATGGTGTGAACGGGCCCTATCTTTGTACATATGCTGGAAAAGCATTGCAGCCCATGTATGTCCATAGACGGCATTCATTCTGGGATAGTAATAGGTTGTAAAGGTCCGATATGCAAAGAAACTAGATGGCTTCCCCATGGCTTCTGATTATTGTTGTTAAATGAATATGTAAGCCCTCTTACCGTGGTTTCACTAGGCTCAATCGTAGTAGCCACTTTTTATGTCACTAACATCAATTTTCCTAAGCAAAATCCACAGCCCAACTTCTGTATACGGTCTAATTTCTCTATAGAGAGTCCTAGATGGTAAGCATGTGCCCTACTCATGGGTGCCTTTGGGCCCCTGTGCAATGGCATATGCTACGCAGGTGGAATGTCCAGGCCTGGAAGGATGATATTGAGCTGTGTATGTTCTGACAGCTGATTGTTACACTTTATGCTGTCAGTTATCCCTGGTATAAAAGCTGATCAATATGCAAATACGTGTGAAGGTAATCATGGTTGTATACATCCCACCTAATAATTCTGTGCCAATACAATCTGAAAGTTTGGTTGGGTGCCAGACTTCATGCTCTTTTTTGATGTGGTCATCATAATCGTATAGCAGCACAATACTGTTTAGGTGCATCCTTATTGTCTTGCCAGTTCTGGATAAATACCAACTGGTATTTACAGTATTTAATTTTTGCGTGAACCCATCTTAACAGCTCCAATTATGTAAAGCAGTCTTCTATACCTCTGATTACATTATCTGTAATGTGTCTGAATTTTAGCTATATTACTCTAGTGATATAGTAATATGAACAGCTTGCCAAGCAAACCAAACCAGACAAACAGATGTGAGCAACAAAAGTATGTCTCACAGCATAGCATATGAGCTTTGAAAATGTAAGGTTTCTTCATTTGCATTTTGTGCTGGTATATTATCACAAGTCTCAGGAAGCTTTCAGTTTATATAAATGATGCACTCTTTCTATCCTCCCAGTGATTACAGATGGCTCCCTGGACAGACCATCTCTCATGGATGACTTGGGAAGTGATGAGGATCTCTATGAAGATTTACATGTTTCCAGCCACCGGTTTGGTGGAGGGGGAGAGCAGCTGGCAATAAATGAGGTATTTAAAGTACACACAGTTCAGCTCTGCCATGTTATATATATTTGTGTTGCATACTTTGATATTTTATGTTAAATATTAATGTTATTTTTTACTATCATGTTTTACAACATTGTATTGGTCGTAAGGCGTTGTATTGATGATGTTATACTTCTGCCCTCTTCACATTGAGAAAATGAACCTGCCTCCAAAGTATTACATCTGTAATCTGTTAAATGGTCTCCTTGGCTCCAGGTAGCTTGTAAATCTGTGCATGAACATTTGCAGACTTTGATGACTACCCGTGACTTGAGGAATTTGCCTCAGCACTCCCTTTATTGAGACATCCCCCAATCCCCCATGCTTTCTGGGACAAAAATGCTGCTTCAGTCTTTGTATTTGCATTCAGTATCAAGATGTATTTTCCTTAGCAGACTTCCTAAGAAGTGCAGTCAGAGTGCTGAACACACCACCACATGCAGCCTTTCTGGAGTAGCAGCCAGGGCTAGCCTTTGGTAACATTGCATCTTGTGCAGAATTTTAGTATGTTGCTCCCCCTAGTGAAATAAGCAAGCTTCCTCACTTGCTATGTAACCATTTCCACTAAAGATGACATAAAGAAAAGTGGCCTTGTGGTGAAATTTCTAGTGTGCCACATTCTTGATGCAGCAGTAGCAACGTCAGTAAATCTGTTTTGTGGCATCATGGCCCAGAAGAAAATAATCAGGTGCAAGCATGCATATAGTATCTACTTTTACCTTACCAGTAGCTCACCCTGTCTGCTTTAAAAAAGCCACCTCAACACTCTGGAAGCATGCTTATAAGGGGGCAGATGAGTGGCAGTCTCTGTCGAGGACTTCCCCCAGATACTCACAAAATGCAATGTTCTGCATGCTCTTTGCTTCTTATGTGCCTTTGACAGACAGTGCAGCAAACAATGGCCATTGCACGAACAGTGTCACCCTGTCAAAGGGGAAGACATTTGAATGTAAATCCAAAACTTAAAAAATGGAAGAAGAAGGAAGTAGAAAGAGAGCAAGTAAAATGAAATACTAGAAGTATGCATTTGGAATATGAATTTTAATAAATGTTTTTAAAACATGTAAAAAAAAGCTGAGTTCCTGCTACAGAATGGTGTTTATGCACCTGCCAGGTTCCATATAGCTAATGCTGGATATGTGAATGGAGCATCCTGAAAGAGGAGAAAGCCTTATCGAGAACTTCTGGGACTAAGGCAGGGTTCACACCTAGGCGTATCGAATATGCGCGTTTGTCGCGCAATTTGCGGTAAAAAAACGTGCGACAAACGCACGTTTCCGAGTGCTACTTGGCTGTATCCCAATGGAAACTCGCGACAAAAACGCCCCAAAGAAGCTCCTGTACTTCTTTGGGCGTAGGGCGTTTTGTAGCGCGTTCATGCGGCCTGTAATACGCCCAGGTGTGAACCATACCCATAGGAAATAATGAGATTTCTGTGTTTGAGCGTTTTGCAGAGCGTAGGAACGCGCTACAAAACGCCCCGGTGTGAACCGGGCCTAAGAGGAGCTGTGTACTGAGTGGGAAGGTATATGGAGGGAATGGTGCTAAGGGCACAAGGCTTCTACTTCATAAGGTGATTTAAAGTCAGGAGCTGCAGTGCCGGATGCTTATCCTTTCCTTGTCAAGTTGCTTTTGGCAACCAGGGCAGCTCCTCTTCCTGAGGCAAGACACTACCATGCTCCCCGCACCCACCTCCTCCAAGCTAGTAGATGTACAGCTGCTGGAGACGGCTCTGTATGCAACAGGAAGTTCAGGGAAGCGGAGCTGAGAGACTTGGAGCCAGCTGCTCTGAAACATAATGACTATAAGTGCTTCGGAAAAATTCAAGTACCGTATATACTCGAGTATAAGCCGTCCCGAATATAAGCCGAGGTACCTAATTTTACAAAAAAAAAATGGGAAAAAGTATTGACCCGAATGGGAAATGAGGCAGCTACTGGTAGATAGATACCAATAAAATTACATTAATATTTATTTAAAAGAAAAATAACCTAGCTCTGCAAGTGGAAAAGGGGGTACAGGGCTACATATCATGTACTACGGATCATTTAACCCATTCATATTAGCAGAGGATAATTGTAAATCTATTGTTCAGTGCACTCTATTTGTAGTATATAGTACATGTACATATAGAGTGCCTGCAACAATACATTTACAATGATCCTCTGCTAACATGAATGGGTTAAATGATCCATAGTACAGGGCTACATACAGATCATTTAATACATTCAGGTTAGTATAATTGTAAATTTATTGTCTGCACTGTATTAGCAGTATATACTCTATATAGAGTATATACTGCTAATACAGTGCAGACAATACATATATAATTGCTTAATGAATCTCTCTCTACGCTCGGCGAGGTAAGTAAGATGACGCGCTGGCGCTGACTCGAGTATAAGCCGAGGGGGGCACTTTTCACCCAAAAAAATGGGCTGAAAATCTCAGCTTATACTCGAGTATATACGGTAAATGCTTTTCTGGGCTTTGTTTATTTTTTTAATCTGGATTCAATATTTACAAAAAAAATTAAAGATTCATACGACTTTAAGGGCTTATTCACACTGTAATCAACTGGCACGTACAGCCCCGTGCTGTGTGCAGGGCCGTATTGAGCAGCTCCCGGGAAGGACAGGTGCTGCGTGTGATTTCTTCGGAGCTGTACGTGCCGACCGATTACAGTGTGAATGAGGCCTAATAGTGCTTAAGACCTGCTGCCTCCCTTGGCTTCTTTCCCCAGTTTGCATTTGAGCATAACAGATTTGAGTTATTAGGTAGCTCCAGTATCTAGCAGAAGAATAATTTTTACCATCACTTATGACCATGAGTAAACCTGCGCTAACAATAAAAGCAGTGGACTGCTAGCACATCACCTACACCTACGTTCAGATATCTTCCAGATGACTCCCAGGAGGACACCCAGTTTTGTGAATAGGAACTAATGCTCCAGAGTCACCCCATTTGTTTTTCCTTTTCTTTTATCAGGTTCTCAGCCTGAATGCCTGAAGCCAAAGGCGTCGTTCCAAGAATGACAATGTATTTTTGGAATTCTGTATGATTTTAAAATTTTGAGACATATGGTAATATAAATGACATGATTGGAGAAGTTGAAGTGTGAGACATAAGGAACATAGTAGATCTATGATCTTTTTATTTAAACGGGACAATTAATGATTGAAGTACACAATTTGCAACATTTTGGTTTCAGAGGGGTGGAACCTATCGTAAAAAATGAATGTTGTCAAGTATCCCTAATATTGTTGGCTGCAAGGTTTTTGGCAGATCGTGGTTGGGTTTAAGTGTGTATTATATTTATTATTGAGGTGAAAATGACATGTATCTAGGCTTATTAGGGTACACAATATTAACAATGAATCATGGTCATTGTTGGTAAATGGGTCATATGATGTATTAGCTACATCATATTCAGTGCTCAATGAGCTGTGCTGTTTGGACTGCTTTGTATAGATCTCCCCACGGGAAGCTCTTATCGAAGCTGTTCCAACCAGTACCAAGACCGAGGGATTATAACTTCACAGCTGGCCTAGGAACACCCAGGAATCCCTGAGGAGAAGCTGAGTCATTGGCTGGGCCCAGCTGTGCAGAGGGAAGTCTGGCCATCCTGCCCATCGTGCCTCCCTCTTCCTGTACATTAGGAGAAGCAGATTAGGAAAGGTGAATGTGATAATGATGTATTGGTGCATGATTATGTTACCTCACCATCAAAGATGTAATAGTAATTAACTATTAGTAGCACTGTACTGTATTTAAAATGTATTCCACTTTTGCAATTCAAATTGAGAAAACCTGCACTATGTTTCTTATGTCTTCCTATTCACACAGCATATCTAACAATAATGAAATAAAATATTTCTTACCTTTTTTAGATATCTCCATTTAGAAGGCCCTTGCATGCCCCTCTCTCAATTTCAGTACCAGAAAACTCTGACTGTCCTAATAGAAAGATTAAGACAGACTGACTGTCTCCTCATTAATATGCAACGGGGGGAAATTATCAACACTGGAGCAGACAAAAACTGGAGCAGCTGTGCATGACAGCCAATCAGCTTCTCTCTTCGGTTTGTTCAGTTAAGATTTGAAAATGAAAAAGAGAAGCTGATTGGTTGCCCTGCGCAGCTGCTCCAGCTTTTATTGGCTCCAGGTTTGATAAATCCGTGTCTTTTGGGATTTAACCCTTTGTTAGGACAGACAGTCCTGCTCATCTAGTGTCTGATAATTAAATCTGCCAGCACAGTGCAGACAGAGTTAATTTTTTGAAACAAAACACCCCCTAATCCCCAGACAGTGAAAACTAAGCAGGATTTTTCAGCCCTGGAATTACCCGAAAAAACACCTAAAAAAAAAGGTCAACTTCAATTTCTACTTTTTTAAAAGTTATGCTATGTAAATGAGAGCATGTAAAACATATTTTAAAAAAAGGTGTTAACCCCGATTTGGCTGCAAAAGTGAAACTACACTTTAAGTGTCAGAAACAAAATTCTTGCATGTGCCTAGGTTCACGCTAATGCTGGTACATGATTATACATTTGTCAGTGCATTTTTGTTTTGTTTACTTGAATTTTTGTAGCATTTTTCATACATTTTCATGCTCCATGTATGTTTTGGGGGGGCCAATGGCAAGCAATATATCTGCTGTGACATTATTAGGCATTGTTTTCACAACAAAAATGCATCAAAACACATTAACATGTGTTTTTCAGACAATAAAGTCAATGGAGCTAAAAATGCACTGCGTAGCACCAAACGAAGCACCAGCACTTTTTCAAAAATCATATTGCGCCATGTTGCATTGATGTGGATGGGCTCCATTAGGAGCAGTTGCCCATAGCAACCGATCGGCTTCTTTTTGATTGTCAAAGCTTAAAGGAGAACTATGGGTCACACCTTTTTTTTGCAATTTTAGCTTCCTAAAGATACACGAGTACATTTTGCAATGTACTCCTGTAATCAAAAATGCACCA